CCGCATCTGAAAAATACAATTAAATATGAAATAGCATGGAAAAAACATATATGTATATATATATGTATATATATATATATGTATATGATATATATAATGCTAACATACCACATTTATACTGTCGTATCCAATCAATTGAATCGATCCATCCGGCATAAACCCAAAAGCGTTATTATATCGGTTACTATTTACCAATGCTAACCATATTAATTCTTGCCAAAACTGAAAATAAGGATTAAACATGAGCAAAGATTAAACGTATGAACAGAGCTCTGATTACAAATGAAAATATCAAATATTGTATTATTCTTTCTGCTTATTAAGCATGTTTCATTGACTCATATCTTTGTCAAGATTACAAGTTTATTGATTAGTATTCAACTTAATAAAAATTATGTATGAGTATTTGCCAACCCGTCCAGCTCTTAATAATTCATCGAGGTATCCAATATTTGAATGCATCCTGTATAGCAGTTCCCTGACACTAAGATAATAAGGTAAGAATTTCTTAGAACTAATATTAAAACATCTTGTATTTCTTGAACTACACATGGCAGTGTAAACAATAAAAAATTATATACATATGTGTGCGTGTGTGTATGATAAAAGTATAAATTCCGAATGGTTCAGATATAATTCCAATTCTAATATTATACTTACAAGTTTGGTTCCCAAACGATAAAGAAATGAGAAATAGGAGAATCCAAACGTATTATATCGCAACGTAGACCAAGTCTTCTGGCCACGCTGTGATATATTGTTAATAAAATTAATTCTTGACCATATTTATTTTTTAAGACCTATGCCAGAAATTATAATAAAGAAATTAATTAAAGCGAGAATATTTAGTTAAGATATAACAAATATATGATCATGCTTACAGCATATAATTGGCCATAATTAAGTAAGTTATTATATATGTTGATCTATAATAACTTACATTATCTATACACAAGTATTCCAACTTTGTGTTAGGAAACATTCCCCAATTGCATGGTCGAAATTTGCCAAGTATATATTCCTCGAGTGTGTCCATAAGCTGTGTCCCTTCTGCTTCGTTCCACTGATTATTATCGATATTGTTGTTTTTCCAATATGAAAAAATTTCAGCGGACGTCGAGAATATCGAATGGTCGGGATGTTTTTTTCTGAGGCAATTCAGTACCTCTAATGTGATACTATCTAGTGATGCTTTTACGCTCGAGTAAAAGACATCTTTTTCGGGTTGAAACCATTGTGCCGCCATAGTAGCAATCTGTTCCAAAAGCTGACTTTTGTAAGATTGATTTGTGTATCTATACAATTTCTTTCTTACCAAACATTGCCTCATAAAGTGAAACATTTTTATATTGCAATATCTTTCGGTTAGATCGTAATCAGTTCTTCTGAAAAATTTACATATTAACTGTGAAAAGAAAAGTACATTAGTTTATGAAATTAATAGCACTATAATTTGTATTGAGAATCCTACCGTGGAGATTGTATAAGCAAGTTTCTAATCTCATCAATGAAGAAAGAAAGTTTTATGATATTTTCAGGCTCATAAACAATATCAACAATGTTATTTATTAAATGTTTATCTAAATGAAATATGCGATGAAATTTTATTAAATTATCGATTGTCTCATTGTTATTATAATGTTCATGAAGTATTTGAGACACATAATTCCTTAATTCTCTCACACAATTTGTACCTGTTTCCATAAAGTTTGAACTTTTTTTATTCTTCTGTTCATTCTCTTTAGACTTTTCCTGCTCATTTTCCTTACACTGCTTGTCGTAAAGTTTCTTCGCAGAAGACCATCTGAAATCGGGAAAAAAATATTTGAACAACTTTTTGAAAATTACACTAAACAGTGTAATTAATATAATAAAATAAATAACTGGGCAAGTGAGAGCCAGAGCGTGGTAAATAAAGTGTAATCACATTCCTTAAGGATATCATCTTTAATTGCAAATTAACAAAACGTGTCGATTCCTGTTTTGAACCATCTTCAGTCAAATTATAAACATAGAAATCTAACGTGATATGGTCGCGGTGCTCTCAAAATCTCCGAATGAAAAAAGTCTCTCTACAATGCCAGCTGTAAGAGGACAGAGTACACGTATATGTGACTGTGTTTCCATTATTGAGGAAGTAAAAGCCACAAAAGAACGAGAGCCCCGAGTATCGAAATCTCGACCGTTTTAAAAAAAGTTCACAAGTATACTAATGAAGTGTAATTAATAATAGTGCTATTGCACCAACAATAAATATTTACAATACTACATTTTTTTAAATGCATAATATTCATAGTATCAATCAAAATATCAATCTATTTGTTGTTTAAGGCAGAAAATATAAAATATATTATCTGTAATTTTAAATTGTAACTAAATTTTGCACTAATAATAAATAAGAATGTACAATAGTAAATTTAATAAACAGAGCTGTAATTACGTTATAGTCTTATTACATAACTATAACAAATTATTTAATTTTTACATATTCTATATTTATGTAACAAGTAGTATAAGTAGTATAACAAAGTAATTAATAAAACTAATTAAATTAATAAAATAAAAATAATAAAATATGGATTTGACAATCAAAGATTATACAGTCCTAAACGTCATTGGAAAAATTCGAGACTCTGAGGAGATTAAATCTTATAAACCAGTTACTATTCAAAACATTTTGAATTCTAAAACTCAATATGGTGATTATAATTTTCATTTGAGAGGAGGTTCCACGTACATATAAAGTTTGAATCGGCACATTTCCGTCAAAACCAAGTTTTTATAAATATACCAAAAACTTTTAAATAAATAAATATTAGTCAGACGATTCTTTGATGTATTTTGAATTATTTAATCTAATTTTAAAATACTTTAGTTATTTTTTGTGGACACAGTTATGTAACTCGTTTATTACTCATGTTTGAATCATATTTGAATCATATTTGTTTATTACTTATATTTGAAAGAATTGTCTGACTAATCATTTATGAAAAAGTTTTTATTAGATTCATTAAATTAATGAAAATTTGTTTTAAAGTAATTTCTATTCAAACTTCATCTGTGCGTACTATATCCTCTTAATTTGTTTATTTTATACATATTAATTCGTTTATCTCTTATTTTTAAAATTTATTATTTATCTCTTATCTACATTTACATTTCTTATCTACATTTAGACTTTTATAAATTATTTTGTATTTCTTTTTTTACATATTTTTTATATGTTTTGAATATTTTAATCAAAGAGTTGTAAAACTTTGAATTACAATTTTATCCTAAATTGTAGTGACTTTGGAAGCCTTTCTAAAATATGATTTCACTGAGGATACATTTGCTGAACCTATATGCATTTCATCGGTAGGATTTGGAAAATTTAGATTTGAAGTACGATGTAAAGATCGTAAAATTCTTGATAAATTTCAAGTAAAAACAAAACTTCAAATATCTGGCATTCTTAAGGCTGACAGAATGCCAAATTTTTTGCTTGTTGAAAACGTGTCAGATATCAAAATCATACCGGGTACCATCTCAGATGAAGACCTTGCAAAAGCAGCGTTTCTTCCGAGAAAAAGAAAGTCCAATGGTGACATAGAAATGGTAAATCTTTTGGGGGGGTCCCGTTTGCCTACATTCCCGATTGCCAACAGCTTCGTTAAGCGAGATTCCACATGGGTTTACAACTTTTCACGCGAAGCGAGATTCAACCCAAACCTATGTGTCTATTTTTACGATAGTGGAGCCCCCCGCAGGGGTGGCGGAACATACTGCGTCCACGCATACACTTTTTAATGCGAAGCGAGGTTCCACGTGGGTTTGTAATTTTCCACGCGAAGCAAGGTCTAGCCCCATCATCTGCTGCTTTCAGTGCGAAAGGAAATCTATTATTATTTTATACAGATGTATTTTTATACAGATTCACATAGGTTTTGAATACAGTCAATAATTTTCGAGATATTGGTGTTTCAAAATTTCGTTTCTTTTGTTGGCAATCGGGAATGTAGGCAAACGGAGCCTCCTCAATCTTTTGACTTATAAATTCTATTTCACTTTAATATTCCGCAAA